GATGTCTGGAGCGCTGTCCGCGGTACTGAAGAAAGGTCGTCTTCTGTCTTGCAGAAGTTCTGTTGGACAGGTGGAGTTGCTATCTGTGGTGTTGAAGCCTTTCAGATTAGTTGCCTAATTTAGTGTATGTGCAAAATTGGTTCTTTGGGGACCAATTAATAGTAAGAAAAATTGTGATAGACTTTTTACTGTTTAATTTACTGTGCAAGAACTTCATGAATCTGGATGCTCATCTTTCACTTTTGAACTAGACACCTACTAAAGAATCCCACGAAAACTAAATAGTTTAGAATGCTAGTTTTAAGTAGAAAAGTTACAGCCATAATGTCTGATGCAATTATTTTAACAGAATACATGAACAAGTAGTTATGGTACATTTTGTTTTCTCAGGTTCCATCAAATGCCAACTACACTGCAAAAGTGCAGTATTTTGATTTGAATAGACAACAGAACCTGCTGTTTTCAGGTAGTAGGTATCAATTATATTGACACATAAAAGAAGTAAGAATATTTATTGTTGTCCTGGCAGTCATTATTATCTCTGCTAGGATCAAAAAAGAAAAGAGAACAAATAGAATGGAATAAATGAGACAGCAAATCCAAGACAGAACATGTTGGGCTGTACATGTTTTGTAAGAGATATTTCAAACATGGACTGAAGGAGTCGCTAGATACCCTTAGTTTTAGCACAAGGTGTTCCTTTTAAAGTGCTCAAATAGTCAAATTACGTGATTGAATTGCCTGCTACACTGCAGAACTAGCCATTCATGATACTTATTTTTGACACTGCAGTTATGCATCCATCTTAAAAAAAATCAAAGCCCACTTAATGCCTTTGCAAAATAAAGGTTTATTTTCAAATCGCATTTTTTTAATATCTCCAGAAAAAAATAGATTTTAAAAAATCACTATGTTGGGATGAAAACATTACATTGTTTTCTTACTGTCTGGAAGAAGTAGTACCTGTATTACTCCTTTAAAATTTTGATAGTTTTCAAATAAGATATGATGTTACAATTTTTCCAAAGATTTACCCTATGCTCTGTCAGTTGGTTATGAAAAAGAGATTAATTTTAAGATACAAGTTCAGCAACTTGCCTTTTGTTCTTCTTGATCATTTAAAAATATTAATATATAGTAATATATCGCTATCTATCTTGGTTTCACTTACTAATGTAAAATATTAGGATCAGATATTTTTATCTATATGCATGGAGGACACGGAATATTACCTATTTCAACAATAAAGTATATTTTTATGTTAAAAGAAAATATATTTCTGTACTTTTTTTCTTGAACAAATTGCTGCTTGTGAAAGCCAAGACAGTCACTGTCTGGGGACTCTGAATATTCTGATCAGAACACTAGAAAATAAAAGGTGTTTTTAGACAAAACTGTGACATTGTTGCTCAGGGTATGATCCTATATTTTATCTTTTCGAGAAAAAGATATTCAGAAAACCAAAGTGAGAAGAAATTTGGGCATAAATTATTGAAGCCTTTGCTGCGCCAATCCAAACATCATTGTCATTTAATATATGCACAATTATTTTAGATAAGCTAAAAATGTGTGGGAAAATATGATTCCTTCATTTTAATTCAAGATTTTTTCCCCTAAAGGGCCACTTGCAGAAATCTATTTTTATTGCTGAGTAGTAATCAAGGAATGTCCCACTCAAGTTTTTAAAGTCACCTCTCCAGTTGCACCTTAATCTATATTAATTTCTGTGCAAATTTTTTAAAGTATAAATAAAACCCTCTTTCAGCCTAAAAACAAGTTACAATCACAGTAAATTCCTCCGTCTTAGAGACCACTTCCTTTTTTACAATTCCTAGGCAAAGTGACTTTGACTTATCTTGTCATTTATTAAAATTCATCAGTCGATATAGGAAGTCCGCTTGCATACATCAGTCCCTATCTTGGTAAAGACTCTTACTGAAAATAAAAGCACTTTTTTTCCACGTAAATAAATCCGACTTCTTTCTTGCAACTCAAGGTGGGCGATCAGATCGGTTGCATAATAGATATTGGGAAGCTCACTGGCAGGGAGCCTTAAGAGGCAAGCAGCTATCTCAATTTTTCTCACTTAATCTTGGCTTCACGTCAGAAGCTGTGCAGCAGTGCAGTAGAATAGGGCCTGGCAAAACCTTTGCGAGCAAAGCGCCTTTTGTGCTGGGACTGTTGCTCGCTACCGTCGCCTCGGCCGGCCGTTGCCAAGGCTGGATTTCCTATTGATTTTCCTCCTCCTTTGCTTCCCCAGGCTCGCGCTGCCCGGACATTGTGGGTGTGCGTGCTGGATTTCTCCCGGATGCTCCCCGACTAACATGGATGTCCCACCATCCCTTGCAGTGGAAGGTTGCTCCTTGGCGCAGTGAGTGAAGAACATGCAGCGATTGCTAATGGGTTTGGGAAGCGGAGACTCCTTCCTCTCTCTGTGACCATGCCGTGATCTCGTCTGCGGCCACCTCTCGACGCATCCTCATTCCTACCCGAACCGGGAGCCTAACGCTAGATCGGGGAAGTGGGTGCCGCGCGTGTGGACACAGAAACACCATGAAGATTATTTCCCCGATTCTAAGTAATCCAGTCTTCAGGCGCACCATTAAACTCCTGCTCTGTTTATTGTGGATTGGATATTCTCAAGGAACCACACATGTATTAAGATTTGGTAAGATTTCCCATTCCTCTCCATCGGCTGGTATCCGGCTCAAAGGCAGTCGGATGTAAACAGGCGGCTACGCTCTGCCAGGCGGGTGGGCTCTGTGCATTTCGACCTGTTCACTGCTCCGCCGCCTCCTGGGCTTTTAAAGGACCCACTTGCGTTTTTCATTTCATTTCTTTTTCCCTCTTTTATTTAAAAATAAAATAAAAATTAGCCGCGGGAGGATGAAGTGGGTGTTAGTGTGTGGTAGTGGTCGCTGCGTTACCTCCCCACGGTAGCCAGTCACGGAGACGGTAATGACGCTGGGGTACGGCCACCGCCGCTGCGCCTGCCTATCTCGCCGGGAGCCTTCCGGGCTCTGCCGGCTGCTCCTTCCCGAAGAACGTGCGCGCCGGGGCTACGCGCATCTCGGGCTGCTCAGCCGATGAGTTAATATCTAGTAACTCTTCGGGAAGTTGGCGTCCGTCCGCTTCCGCCTGGGACCTGGACAGGTCCGCAAGTGAAAGGCACTAACCCTTTTGATCTCTTTTGTCACCAAAGAGCCTTTTCGATTTATATCACCACTTTTCCAATCCCTGGTGCCCTTACAGGTACGCGGAGCTTTTATAAATGTTGTTGTAACGTTGAAGGCTCTACTTAGCAAGGGGAGGCTGCTGCTTAACTGAAGTGAAATTGCGTCCTAAGGAAGGGTTTTTGTTTGTTTTTAACTCGTGAGTCCTCCTCCCACAGCTTTCTCACTCTGCATCCTGGACTAATAAATGATGAACAGTGGTGATTGGGGTGGAGGGAGGCTGTGTATCGGAGTCTCTCTGCATTTTTATTTCACTTATAGCATGGTTTTTAAAAAATGAGGTGACAGTTATATATTAGGGGAATCTATTTCTTTCCCAAGGAATCAAGTTTCCTTAGAGCGCGAAGGAAAATCTGAACGTGAGACTCGGGGGGAAACGCTGGACATAAGATTTGCTTGGAGGAAATGAAGGGTGGGCTAGGCTCAGCCGCTCTGGATGGCCAATGGAGTTTCAGTAGAACTAGTCAGGGAAAGTTCCCTTAAGTAGATAAGAGCCAGCGAGGAGAGAGCCAACGGGGGTAAATGCTCCCACTGTGGGTGCCTCCTTTGACAGTTCAAGTGGATTTAGACCAAAGAGTGCAGGAAACCATATAATCCTGAGTATGTGTCTTTGAGATAAAAGCAGATACATTAAGTCACTCAGTCAAATTTGAATCGAAGAGTGATTGCCTGCACTTCCCATTATGTCAACAGCATCTTTTCTCTTTCCTTTTCCCATGTGCTTTTTCTATAATTACAAAATTTATCATCTTTCTCAGGCTTTGTGGAACCAGGGTAGAAATGCTTTCACATACTGAAATAGGGAACCCTACCATCCTCCCCTACCAACATATAGACACTTGGAGTCCAGAAGACTGGTAATGACAGAAAAAGACAATGAGTTATAACTGGGATTCCTTCTGTAGTAGTTTCCCTGCTTTCTTCATGCCTTTAGATGGTACTTAAGCACGTTGCTCTTAGCAACAAGCGTCCACAGGAATGCTTATTTCTTTGGATGAGATAAAACAGGTCCCTGTATCACTAGAAATGTGTGTGTGTGTTCAGCTGTTTTGCTTCAAGCATGGTAAATGCTACAGTTTGGTAGTTTTGTCCAATATTTTGAGTAGTACAACCTACTTATTTGGAATACTGAAATATCTTCTGAAGTGTGTTTGTGATTGAGTGTGTCTTAGTGTGTTTGAAGACTGGGTGGGGAAAAAAGGAAGCCTGGGAGCCGGAAAACTGCCACTAATTCTCTAAAGATTTAATTATTGCTGCTCTGGTCTTGCAGCACAATATTTGCTGAATCATTAGATTGTTACATTCGCTGATCATTTCATATCTTCATATTAAAAATCTTGGCGGCTGTAGCAGAGTGTGTAGCAGCTTTCTAAAACAGCTGACACACACACAAAAATACATTTTCCTAGACCAGTGCTTACTAAGAATGTCCTTAAGAAACAGGGGAGTAGGCAAACACCTTCCCACCCGCGCCCTGATACCTTAAACCAACAGCCCAGTTGCTAGATAACCTGTTATTTCCTCCATTAACTTCACACATCTTTCACGTGGAGATCCATTTTCTCTGATTTTTGACCTGAGTTATGGGGGAGAACTGTGTACATTGTAATCAATGGAACATTTCCCCTTGAGGATATTTTGATCCAATGGCGGGAGTTTTATTTTCTTTGGGGGAAAACATGTTTTAAGTGGAGTGGAGGGTTGCGTGTGTGTGAACCACTCTTCAGAAAGGTTATTTTCAACTTCAGCTGCAAAGGCGAACCAGAGCCTCATCCCTGGCCCCAAGCCTGGGAAGGGAAGGGGTTGGAGTTGCCGGTGGAGCAGCTGCCCCTGGGTTGCGGGTGAGACCCTCCGCCTGTACCGAGGCGGTGGCATCCAGCCCTTCCTTCCCCCTGACCCGGCTTGGCTGGCCTCTGCCAGCGGCCGAGCGTCTCTGCGGCGGCGCTATGGCAACCGCGGAGCCCGCGCGGCGACCGCCCCAGCCCCCCTTTCCCGCAGGTGGTGGAAAACCCCCTTCACCAGTTCTCTGCTGCCCTTTCCCCGTTCCCACTGGGGCTGTGACCTGACCGTGCGTCCTACCAACGTCTGTAGATCGGTGAGCAGCTCAGGGTGCTGACCCTTGTCGAGTCCCTCGTCACCCCCGCCCCTCTTTCGGGTGCTCAGTCTCTCAGTCAGAATCTCTTCTCTCCCCCGCTGTCTCTTTCTCTCTCAACACACACACACGCGCGCGCGCGCGCGCGCGCTCTTGCCAAGCAAGTCCGACACTGGCACAATGACTCCTCTCTGGTCCCCAGGAAAACTTCCTGCAGTCGCGCCCGGGAGCGCCTTGTCCCGGTGCCCCCTCCCTCCCTGCCTGGCCTCGGGGCGGCACTGCTGGGCCTGCTCCTCCCCGGCCGCTTAGCAAACATCTCCGAAAGTCTCCAGAGCGCTGACCCCAGGGCACTCTCCTGAAGCTTTAAGGCAGCCTGGGGGCGGTGGGGGAGAGACCTGAGGCTCAGCTAAGGGTTAGCCCCTGCCCGCGGGCGGGGCGGCGCCTCGCTGTGCGCGGGTCGTGGCCCTTTGCCCACCTTCGACCCTGGCTCGGCCCAGCTTGGCTTCTCCAGGGCGACCACCCACCGGGCGCGTTGTTGGGGACCCGGTGGATGTTGGACGCTCAGGGAGTCAGTTCCCTCATTCCGGGTCGGCACAGGCGTCCTGGGGCCGACCTTCCCGGGCCCCGGGCCTGCGACGCCCCCAGCCGGGCCTCTCGGCCGCGCGCCCGCCCCGCAGCCCGCGGCGCCGCGCTGTGTAGATGAGGCACCTTTGTTTGCCCGCGGCTGCGGCCCGGTGCCGCTAGCGGCTGGAGAGGGAGAAGACGGGATCCTTACGTCCGCGGGGGCGTGGGCCCCGATTCCACGGTCCCCCCCCGGCACGACCGTGGCTCGGAGGTACTGGAACGTTTCTTTAGTTACTTCAGCTGCCCTCCTCTTCTGGGTCCGCTGGACCTCAGCTCCTGGGAAGGCGTGGGGAGGGGCTGACGCCGGCCCCGGCCCGGCTCCAAGCGGGGCTGGCAGTCCCGCTCGGAGTTTGGGGGCTCTGGCATCTTCTTTATGGAATCACTCCCCAAGCCGCCACTAGTATCCCGAGGTCGGGTTTTTTCAAATTCCTGACCTGAAATGGCGTTTAGAACGCCAGGAATGAAGACATGAACCCAAACTTTCTCCCAAACTCGTGGGCGGCTTCTCCAAGATAGTCCTCTGAGAGGAGCTGAGCGTGTGGTAGGCCACTTGTTCCCTTCAGATGTTTCGACTTAGCTTTCCTCGCAGGCGTGCCAGTAAAACAGCTTTCTTAAAAGGCTTCCCAGGCGAGGTCTTCCCCCAGACACGCTGGGACCTCCTTGGCACTGTGCACTGGCCCTGCGTCCATGGCACAGTGCATAGCCACCTCCCCGCGCAAGGTGAGGGCCACCAGCTCAGGGACAGCCCGGATAATAGAACCCACAGAGTGAGAGGGAACGGAAAGGGTTCCTAGGGAAATCCCCCTATTTGCTGGCCATCTCATGTGCTCCCAGATATAATAATTAGTAGCAGATGTTCTGCAATATCGAGGAGTGTGAGTGAATTGGTCGGGCTTAGGAGCTGCCGCTCTCTCCAACTTCTTTGAAAGAGATTTTTCTTCCTTTGGGAGGTGAGGTGGGCGGGAGGGAGGAGTGGCCTTACATCTGGCAGCAGGAAAACTGGCTCCTGCGAGGCGGGGATGGGGGAGTAATAGTGGCTACTATCTGCAGCGGATAAAACCTGAACACCTGCTCAGCTGAGCTCTGGAAAGCAAGGAAGAGAAATCTGTCCAAGAATCGCCAACACAAGGGCCACACTAAAAAGAAAAAAATCTTTTTCACGTAAGTTCTCACTTACTCTTAACGCTTCAAAGAATGACTCTGATGTGATCCATCAACGGAGGCACACTCATTTCAGAAAATGACTTTGAAAAATGATCTTTTCATCCTCTAGAAATAGCACCCCTTTTCCACCCAGACACATGGAACTCAACACGTTTTCTGGCGTTGTGAGGTGGTCTTCCAGAAGTGAACAAGGGTTTCTATGTCAGTAGACATTTCTTCAGACAGACACCTTTAGGTTTCTAGTTTAATTCAAGTGATGGCTGCAGTGTGTTCATTCCCTAAATTCTCAGATGACGCTGTTTCAACATTTACTCAGCACAGGAAAGTTAATGTGAATTGCTCCCACACAAAGGAGGAAGTAACAGGCCAAACACAGGCTGCGTCATTGATTATCAGAGCCTTTTCAAGTCTATTCACCATTAAAAAGAAGTGTCACCTATGATAATGGTGACATGATCATTGATTTTTTTTGTTTAATTATCAACATTTCTGATAAAGAAAATGCTTTGCTCTTTTGTGGTAGAAACTCAAGTGAAAGGAATTCATTTTCTCCTTCTGTTCTTAGGATTTCACTGTGTTATTGTAGCTCCAACTCCATTTATTCCCTGGAAATTGTCGATGTCCATTTTTACATATCAAAGTAGGAACTGGTTCACTGTCTTTCAAGTGTACTATACTTAAATCATTCATCTACTGCATCCATAATACCGGAGGTTTGCGAGAGATCCTAGGTTTTCCTCTGAAGGGTGGTCTAAAGTATTGAAATGAAATTGCTGACTGTTTTGCATTTGAGGGATGAAGCTTTATCTTCTGCGGGCTTTCAATTTGTAATCCAGTTATCAAGGTACTAGAAGTGCTTCAAATGAATCTTAAACCCTAAATCTTAGCATGAAAGGTAAGGTCAAAAGCCCTCGAAAGGGAAGGAAGTAGGTGCACATCATCATTATTGACTGGTCTAGATTAAACACCGGAAAGGAAGATTTCAATCTGATAACGTCATAGGGCTTCCTGTTTTTCTTTGCTGCTTCTGCTGACAATTTTGTAAGGTAATTAAATTGGCTGATTGAAGTCACGGTGGTCATGGGGCAATAAAGACCATTTGAATTTAATGGAATTTAAAACAACAGAGCACTGAACACAACTCTTACCGAACAAGAATTTTAATGGCCCATTCCGGGTGCTGACTAAATAGAACGCCCTGAACAAGTTTAATCGAAAGGGCAAGGCAGATTAGCACTATATAGTCTTTATGGTTGAAGATTGAGGAATTAAAATTATCCCTTTTAAAAGACTCATTAATGCATTATTAAGATTTAATGTAGGTTAAATAAGCTTTCTTTAGACCTTCACCATATACTGTGAACCTAGGTTTAGGACCAAGTTTCAATAAGGAAATGTTTTTTTAAGAGCTGGCTTCATAAATGGAATTATGTATGTCTCTTATTTCAAGAACAAAAGACATTTAGAATTCTTTGAGAGTGTCCAAGGTGTGGAGGACAGGTGTTGATGACGAATCCTTTCTTTTCAGTAACTGAAAAGAACAAATTTGACTTTTCTTTGAAAGTTTTGATTTTGGTAGTTTTTTCTTATACACAAAGCTTATCTGTACTAGAGAAACTGCAAAGATAATTTTAAAAATGTTCTCCTACAGTTTCAGCAGTGTCATAGGTATTTAACTTAGGCTTTGCGCTGTCTTTTTAATCCTGTCCTTGTTTTTCCTTAATGCAACTTCACTCAGGTTACCAGACTTTAGTGCACTCAGGTTCCTTTTGCCCCTGGAAAAGGGCAATTCTTTGCTTTACACTGAGAATACATTTAGCTCCAGTTCCATGGTAAAAATCAAGCCTCAGTCTCTTATGAGATTGTTTCTTCAGACCACTTCTTGCCTTGTGAAATTGTCTTCTTAAAGTTCTGTTCCTTTGATTATTCTAGAAAAACGTGAGACCCAAGTTTTTATATAAACATCTGCCCAATTTTGATTGTACATAATTTTAAAAAGTTGTTTTAAAAATTCTGAGCTGACCGAACCAAAAGCACTCAGCTGAGTGGGAGGTGGCCCAAAGGTCACCAAGTTTCATCCTCCAGCCCACCTCATATTCCCACTCCTCACTGGTCCCCAAACAACTAGGCCTATTTGTCTCTTGCCTCACACTTTTAGGGCCAAATATTTTATATTGTTGTATTTTCCAAGTGACAATTAGCTTAGATAAAACTAATCTGGTATCACTGAGTGGGAGGTTAGAGAAGACCCTTAAAATCTTTCTGCAGGATTTTTCATTTTGCATTTTATTTTTGTATTTGAGCTTTGTGGCTTGTCTCTATTTACCACAGCATTCAAATATAGCATTTCCCTATAGATTGATTTGAACCCTTTATTTTCTTAATTAAATCTAAACCTTCTTTTAATAGAGATGGGTCTCTGGACAGCAGAGCTATATGTGATGTTCTGAAAGGGTCTTGGGAGGTTGTGGCTTTCAGATATTTTCCCCACTGACACACGTAATTCAATCAGCTTTTCTTTTTGGTTTAGCATTTGCTGCCTCCCGTGGCTTTGTTGTAAGACAAGTATATTCAGGAAGGGAGAGCGCATAGTCCCTGGATGGTAAAGTTGGGATGAATATATTAGATCAATCGATTCTGTGACAGAGATGCTCAGCTGTGTAAGAGAATACCAGGTGCCTAAGGGAGTGCTGAGTGATTAGCACTAATGTGATGGGGAGGCTGAAAAAAGAGTGAAGTCAAGTGCCATTTGATACCAAGTCTTCTAGATTTACTGCCAGACATCTCAGTGCATTGTAAATTGATCTTTTTGCTTGTATTAGTCCAAATCTTTGAGCATATGTGATGATTTTAAATAAGACATCAGTGATACTCTTACATTGACATATCTGCTTCCAATAAAAGGATCTTTAAATGCTTTTCACACCTTTTTTAAATCAACAAGGTACTTTTCCTTCAGTGAAATGAAGCAAGTGTTTGGAAGGTGTCGCCTGTAACTCCCATTTCTGTCTCCAGCTCAGCCTAACTCTGAGTCCTTGACCTATCACAATGGGAATATTGCTCAGCTAAAATGATCAAATAAGCAAAGCAAATATTAAAGCAATGTTCTGCTTCAGTAATCATCATAGGCTTTTGGTTTATTTTATGCTGTCTTTTTAATCCTGATTGTCTTACTAAGGAAAGCTTCTTTCTGTATTGTTTGTCATACCTTTAGTGCATTCAGGCCCTACCGTGCCCAAAAGAAATGAAATGAAAACTCTCTCAAGATGAAGGAAAACTATAGAATCATATAATATCTGAGCCAAAGTGGGCTTTAAAGATCAAATCTAGTATCCTAAGTTTAGAGATGAATTGCTAAGGGCAGTTAAATAGCTTGTTCTGGTCACAGCTTGTTAATGTCAGATTTTAGGCCAAAATATGAACATCCTGACTGCTGGTCAAGTGATGTTTTTCAGTGAATTATGCTGTTTTTCAAGAGTAGCCTCTGACTCTCTATGTTTTGCATCAGTTTTAGGAAGAGTCAGTGATTCTGGTAGCTTCCCCTAGACATTTGCTTCCTCTGTTTCTTCCACCTTTTCTTTCATAGAACATTATTCCATAAATTATTCCTTTTTTTTTCTTCATCTCCTTCTTCTGTAGCTCCCCCATTCCCCTCTTTCATGTCTGTGAAGGTCTTCCTTTCCCCAGGGTCCAAAGCTTTGACCACATCCATTTATTCAATAAACAGTAATTGAGTACATGTTATGTGCTAGGCAGATAGAATTCTAAAACCCGGATTCTGACCTCAGGGAGTTTGTAATCCAGTTAAAGAGTAAAGACATATACACATTAAAGTACCAATTGAGAGGCGCAGAAAATATATACAATAGTTGTTTAAAGGAGATTATTGTGGGCTTGCATTTTTATAGGAGAGATGAGACTCCGGCTGGGATCTGTAAAAAACTGTGTGATAGGGAAGAAGAGAGGGGAATATATCATTGACAGAAGACTCAGAACAAGAAAAGGAATTTAGGCATAAGCTACGAAGGTGACCTTTGGAACAGGGAA